CTATCACTTAAAAAAAGAAGCATGCATCTTTGAGTAAACCTACACAGGAAGTAAAAATGAAGTCCAAAGTTTATGCATTAAGCATCAAGAACACTAAGAACAGGATGTTACAACGATTCTGAATATAATGCTGACACATTGCTAGAGACAAGTCGCATTAATCATATCACTAAATATGAGTCACTAAAAACCTGAAAACTGACTCGGTAGTGTTTATGTTGTTGTGGTGGTGGCAGTCATATCTGAAACACACTAACTCCATGGTATTTATTTGTACTTTTTAGATCTTAGATTTCACACAGAGAAATGGTTGTTATAGAGGCATGTTTGAGCCTAAGAATGGAAATACTGATGTCTATCATACTTTGATGGAATTTTCTGACTTCATAGTTATGTGTTTGAAACAGGTCTACATAAAGAACAGAGGAGGTGCTGTAATATGCGGCCAGTGGGTACAGAGGAACAATGACCTGACACGTGCAGCCCAAAATAGGATATGTGGAAAAACAAAAGGTATGAAAGGAACAATTTAATAAGTACCAAGGAATCTAAGGAAAGAAAAATCATAAGAGTTACTCAGTAAATTGTTGTTTTCATATGTCTGTGGTTGAATTGATTTTAAACATGATAATGAATCGTGATAAAGCATTATTTATGTGGTATAAACTCAGTGAGTAACTGCTGATATTATCTGCGTTCGGATCACACTGTGTGCAAATCTGTTAACCACACAAAACACTTTCAGTTCAACCACTTTTCCACCTTCACCGATAAGTAGAGCTCACCATTTCCTGCATTGAGCCCCAGACTCATTTTCCACCATGCATTTGCAGAAAGGGACTTTTCTTGCATTGCACTGCACTTTAGAGCTTTGGACATCTTCTTGAGAAGATGCAACCTGAAAATGCAGATGTAAGACAGGTCATTTGTGCATGGGGGTCCTTAGGAGGGTCCATCATAAATGTAAAGATGTTTTCTATGGAATATGGATAGAAAAGAAATAAGAAACGAAATATGGCAAACTCAAATCGACCACATTTCTCTGGTTACCTGTGTCAGCAATTTATACTAGATTCACAGAATTGGGGAAGGGTACAACAGGAAGTACTACCTCTGCAGGCCACATCACGGTTTTCCCCCATACGTGTGATGTCACATGTTCCTCGTCGGACTGAACCCCTATAGGTCTGTATAGTGGAAAGTACAGCCTCACCCCTTTATAAAGCGGACGGCATCCGTGAAGTGATCATCTTCGAGACGATCAGCCTCCGATAAAGCGACCAACACATCAAGATCTGATCCACGAGCGACCGCAGACCCAAACATGAGGCCCTACTGCATCTTCATCGCCTGCCTTGTGCTCTTCGCTTTCTGCTCACTGGCTCGCAGTGAATGTGCGTCTTTTTCTTTATTTCTTGATTTTAGTTTTTAGTTCAACAATAGGCTATTAATAATTTAATGTACATTTGTTAAGCGTTTTCTTGATTTCTAAATGTATCCCATTCATATATTGATTAATATTTAGTGTTTTAACACTTTTTTTTTTTCCTGCAGTCAGCCAAGGTCCCGATAAGTGCTGCTTTTCTTTTTCCAATATAAAAATCCCAATAAAGCAGGTCGAGAGTCATCATACTACACATCTTGAGTGCCACAGGAGTGGTATCATGTAAGTATTTTTGTAATGTCTTAATTAAAATGAATTGTGAATAAATCATGTGAAATCATGAACCATCTTCTCTTTTGAAATTTCAGTGTCATCACAAAAGCCCAAAGAGAGATCTGTGTTGACCCGACAGAGAGATGGGTTCAGAGACTGATAAACTTGGTGGATGCTCGAAACATGAAGGAGATGTCACAGAGCAGCGACTAAGATGTGAACGGCTCTTCTCTTTTCAAACTATTGAATTGAACAGTTTTTTTTTTTCTTAAAATCATTTAACTGATTTTAAGCTTTTATTTAAAAATAAAAATAAAAATAAAAATAAAAACTGATGTATGCACCTGCACAATGCTGTTAATCAATTATGATGATTGTGATATATATATATGTATTAAAGCATATTTAAACTAAAATTGTTGCGTTTAATGTAAACCTGTTTGAATTTTAACAAAACCATACAATAAAAATATGGTGAAACAATAGTGGATTTTGAACATTATTTGAAAAATAAAACAATAAAAACAGCTTAATTTAATAATAACAGCAATCTACTACTACTACTAATAATAACAATAGCAGACTTTATTATATTACATTTACTTGGGAAAAAGTGGTAACATGCAGACCCTAATTCTACCTTATCTAATCCTTAAATATTACTTAAATGAAGTTTTACTGTTGTATATGGAAAGACAGAAGAATTATGATGGTGGATTATTCTCCTATACCTTCTGTTTTACTTCTACCCTTGCACAGGACAATGCCGCTGTCAGATTTCACAGGCTTCATGTTATCGTACAATTACAGTATCTTTTGCAGGCAAATCTTGTCAAGGATGCTAAAATTATCTGATGCCTAAATAGCACCTTTTCCTATCTCACTGCTTTGGAAATGTCAATGTCAGAATTAATTTTTGAATAATGTTTTTTTTTTAATTCTAGCTCCAAGCATCGACTCTGTGGGGCCAATGCTTTGAGTGTTGCATCTTTGAATAGCTAAAACATTTAACAGTCAAAGCACATTTATTAATATGTCTGTTCATTATTTATTTATTTAGTCATTTATTAGATGCTAAAGAGGAGAAATAAAAAGCGATACTCATTAACTGAAAATACATCCATCCACTGCAGCATTAAAAAGTGTATTTGTTCAATGAGCATTTCAAAGGGGCATTCCATTCAAGACTAAAATAAAATTATGCAATTTTCACATGACAGTTTTCATTAAATATCTAGCATAATTGCCAACTGTCCTGTATTAGCCAGGACACCCTGTATATTGGGCCTAATTGATTTGTTCCATACGTGACCTCCCTTGTCCCATTTATTGAATGCTACACTGATCTGTAGCATTTGCTGATCAAATGCTACAGTGCTGATCAGGGCCGCATTAAGACCTCACTGGGCCCCGGGGCTATGACTTACTGCAGGCCCCCCCGTGGCTTCAGCCCCGCCTAGCCCAATGGTTAATGCGGCCCTGGTGCTGATCACGACCCTTGAGAATGATGACACCTGTCATCATCCAATCATGGCTCTTTCAGTCGACTACTAATTCATGAGCACACTGTTACTGAGGCTGTCAGAAGCGTTTGTGTGGTTGGTTGTTACCACTGTGTGAAACTGTGGGTTTGGACTTTTTTTGTGTTCTTTTTATATTCAGGCTTTTGACATTGTTGCCCAAGCATCAACTATTTTTCTAATTTTACTGATTCTCTTATTATCAATCCTATTGTTGTCCTTTATATCCATATAAAATATAAATCTTACTCTGTTATAATCACTTACTCTGTCACTGTTTTTGACATCATGTCCTATTTTCTGTTTTGATAGACTCTCCATCGTGTATTCTTTCCCGAGCTGAGGCTTTGTTGCTCTTCTGTTCTTTGTTTTCTTCTCTTTCTTTCTCTTCATTTCTCTCAGCTTATTGTTTCTTTGATTTTTTTTTATAACGAACCAGTCATTTCTAGTTTTATGTTTCATGTTTTCTGTTTTAATTAGTCTTTTTCTTTATACTGTTTTTGGCATTTGCTTTCTGTTCATGTTGGTACACTGTAAAAAAAATTCCGTAAAATTTACGGTAAAAAACCGGCAGCTGTGGTTGTCGGAATTTTACCGTACAAAAAATGGTAGCAACGTTTTAGGTTTTACGGTTCAAGTTAAATTGACAGTTAAATACCGTAATTTCATTAACTGATATAATGTTAATATACCAACCTATTGAAGTACTAAAATCTGTTTTGTACCTTTGTAATACACTGATAACCACCAAATGCAGGTGGTCATGAGAAAGTCACATGATGAACCAAAGCCCATCACAAGCAGCTTTTAAATAATAACATATAAGGTGCACAGTGTCATTCACACAAACACCAAACACCATCATGGTAACACACATGAAACTGAAATAATGCAATAAACAGTCTTTTACCGTTAAATTCACGGTCATTTTTTACAGTGTACTTCATATTGGTTACAGCAAAAAAGTGCAGATTCAAGAGCCTTCCTGTAGCGAGAACTCATAGCATGCAGGCCTTGATTACAATGTAAGTTGCTGTGGATAAATGCATCTGCCAAATGCAAGACAGGAAATCAGTTCGTGGAGGTCCTTATGAGGGTCCTTCTCCTTCCTAAATTGAAAGATGTATGGAAATGGAATATGGGTGAAAAATAAAGAAGAAAAGGCTTTTGTATGAAATGGAAAGGGAAGAAACAACAAAATATCAAATTGACTTCATTTGTCAGGTTACACGTGTCAGCAACTGGGGCTAGGTTCACAGAATTAGGAAAGGGTACAAGAGGAAGTACTTCTACCACTGTAGACCACATTATGTTTTTCTCTTGCATGTGATGTCACCTGTATCTCATCAGACTGAAACTATAGGTCTGTAATAGTGCAAAGTACAACCTCACCCCTTTATAAAGCAGAGAACATTAGTGAGGTTGTTATCTTCGAGACGATCGGCTGCTGATCAACGACTGACCACAAACCCAAACACGAGGCACTACTGCATCTTGATCTCCTGTCTTGTGCTCTTCACTTTCTGCTCACTAGCTCAAAGTAAATGTGTGACTTTTTATTTCTTAATTTTTCTTTGTGAGTAGATGCTAGATAATCAACTACTAACATCTGTGTTTCTTCCGGCAGATCCAGATAAGTGCTGCTTTTCTTTTTCCAATTTAGAAATCCCAGAAAGGGAGGTTGAAAGTTATATGACCAATCTTGAATGCCCCAGACATGGTATCATGTAAATATCTTTTATGACGTCTTAACTCGAATGGATTGCAGTTTAATTGATTGTGAAATCATGAACCATCTTCTTTTTGAAAATCCAGTTTCATCACAAAAAGTAAGGTATGTGCTGACCTGCTACATAACGGTTTCTAAAAACTGATAGTATCTTGTGAATGCTTTTAATTGATTGAGCAATTAATATGATCACATACTGTATTTTAAAGCATATTTTAGCCAAAAACCTTTCAGTTGCAACTGTTGGCTGGGCAGATTAAAATTATCCAAAGCATCAGCAGGCGTTGTAAAAAATCTGTCTTCTATCCCGAAAGGAAAAAACCAGAATCAATCAGAATGTCAAAAACTACACCACTCCAGCAACCAGAGGAGACGGCTCTAGTTCACCTCAAAGAGTCACATGGCTGGGTAGAATTTGACACAACACAAGCAAATCCAACTACTGAGTAAGTATAAAACAAAATAAATGATCCAAAAATATTGGCCTATTTCATAGTCAGCTACATACAGTAATTATTTCTAAAATACTCAAAGGTTCACTGGAAGACTTTTTTTGCAGTCACTCTACATCCTTTTACTTTAGGAAAGGTTTCCTAGAAAGTTAAATAATAGCTTTGTGACTTTGAAACCAAATCTGGGTAGTTTTTAAAAAGACTGAGATATGCATCTTCACTACTGAAGGAGTCCATCTCAGCCTTTTATTTTTTTCCTTAAAGCTGATAGTACCTTGTGAATGCTTTTAATTGATTGAGCGAATTGTATGGTCATAAATGGTGTAGTAGAGCTATGTAGAGCTAACTGGACTTGATGATTCAATCCCTGTGGAAAGTCAGCATGTCTGATGTCAGCAGTGGTACAGGGGAGGGTAGGAAAGAAGGTATGTTGCAATTGTTATCTGAGCACCTTAAATTATCCAGAACATTAGCGAGTGTTGTAAACATGACCTCTCTCGTATCTTCTGAAAGAAAACCATCAGAGTCCATCTGCACAACACAAACAACCCCACTCCAGCAACAAGAGGAAAAGCCTCTAATCAAGATTTCTGTCAACTGTGAGTTTTAAAAAAAACCTGTGAAATGACACTACAGCTTGGCTAACATGATTTCTCTCCCTGCAAAGGCATCATTTATGCTTTTGTCACTTCCCTCTTATGAATTCATACACAAATATAGCAATTACAACCCACCTGCATGTGTAACCAAAATCCCTTTATGCCAATCTCTGCCTGTTGATACGCCCACTGCTCTGACCTGCAGAGACTTACACTCAAGTTTGTTTACAGGCTGAATTAGGAATATCATGCGAGTAGTGATATCATACTTTCAGTGAAGCCCTGTATCTAGCAGTTTTTACAGAATCACATGATCAATGACATATAGAACCTCACTTTTTGTCCCATCACGTTTCGCATGTCAGTCTAGCTAGCACAATTGTGAGTGTAGTGAATGTTTTCAATAATCAATAAGGAGCAATAATCAATAGCTTTTTTATTTTAAAATTTGGTTATCAGATGTTAATTTTTACAAAACATTATATATTTAAAAAATAAATAGCAATTGCAAGAAAAAGTTCCTTTGTCAGTTGATGTCTTTCAATAAACTGTGGTAGCCTATGGCTTTATGGCTACTGTAAATATCACCAACCACAAGATGGCACTGTGACAGAGCTTCATGAGGCGCATTACCCTCCATGCTGTATATATATATATATATATATAAAATATGACAGAACTAGTAACAGTAATATGCTATTCCAAATTCAGCATCTCTTGTTTATCCCAACTATTTGCTCACTCAGGTCTTGTTTACACCTGTTATTAACCCTGTAAAGCCTGACATATGAAGTAGTATATTAAATCTTTTTTTTTTCTTAATGGAACAGTTTATTGAAAATTTATACAAAATATAAAATTAAATCTAAAATAAAAAGTTTGTTATAAAAAAAGTTTTTTTGTTGAGTATCATGTTTGAAACATTAGGGTTTATGGCTCATATAGTATGATATAAAATAATATACAGCTAAAAAAATTCAATTCAATAATTTTATTCAGGT